TTACAACCATGCCTTCTCCGGGATTCGAACCCAGACCCTTCGGTATCGCAGTCAGGCTCTCTTAATCATTATACCGTCTGGGCGGCGTAAATCCATGCATATAATTATTGACTTAGTATTTGATTTGCTGTATGTTATTTACATAAATTATTCTTTTAGTTTTGCACAAATTTGCCGTAAATTGTTGTAAGTATGGCTTCCTGTCCAAGGATTGTACTGCCCGGTACAGGGAAGGGGTAAAGTTACAAATTTTGTATACGTGTAAACGATTTTAGTGAAATTATATGTGAAGTTGCAGTATCTTTGTGTAATGTAAACGTGAAATGCTTGAAAGAGCGAAGCTCTGGCGGAAAAATAAGGTTACAGAGAATAGTCTATTTAACATTGAAGGTAAATAACTATATCACCAATTCAGCAAGATATTGCCAGTTGCCAAATTTGTCGAGAAATCGCCAAAAGTCGGCAAACTTGGCGACCATTTGGCAACATTTTGGTCAAGTGTCTGTATAACTGTAATTGGTAGCGTTATTGAATAACTGAAATTGATCCCTATATGTAAGTGTAACTGTTTCCGATTCTTATATGTAACTTTAACCGTATATTAATGTCAGTAATTTCGAGAAATGGAAGGTACTTGAGATTTCTCAGCGGTCGAGAAAAAACTATATAAGCCCGAGGAGAGCGTCAGGTCGCAGTTTTTAGTCCGGAGTTAGATCTCTTCGCGAGCTTCGATCGTTACATTTGCTTTGCATTGCATTCTGTTTAACGTTCTTAGTACTTTAAAGTGGTAACTACTCATGACTTCAACCTGAAGGATATTAATGCCAAACTGGATTTTTACAAGTACAGATTCTCAGCACTTAGTACTTTTCTTTTATCAATCATATTCAGTCTCTAAACAAAACCAGTGGCTAGTAATTTGGTAATATAGATGTTGAGAACTTACTACAAGAAATGAGATCCACGAGAAATAACTACAACGTGATAAGTAACAAAGCCGACTGCGCAAGAAATATTTTCAGAAATAAAAATTCACCCAGTTTTCTCCGAGAAATTTATGCAAAATGTAACTGGATGCAAGTTTTCACGTAACAGAAAAAGGCTGATAAAGCAGTCGAAAGGTACATCATAAGAATTTTCAGTGACGATACCATGTCTCCGTTAGAAACACTTTAAAACGTAAGCAATATCAAATCATACGGGACGAATTTTGAGTAAAATAGAAGCCCTGTGCGTCTCACGCAGAGTCCTGTGGCGGATATAGGCAAAGGAAAGATTTAAAAAAAAAAAAAAAAAATATCTGAAATGTTTGAGATTTTAAATTACGTCCAAAGGGGCGTTTTTTAACATTTTGTGTGTTACCTTTCTTTATTAAATATCATGTTCCTCGCACTTAAACCATAAGATCCAGTGCAACAGCAATATCGCAAAATAGTTTTAAAACGAGCATATCTTTAGAATTTCCGATACAGAGACTCACGCGCTGGAGATAAAAATGTTTTTTTTCTGCACAACGTTGCCATTGCTCGCTTTGTAATCCTTGAGTTTGTTAATCAAAAATTCGTCAAAGTTTTAAAAAATAGGAAATCGATCATAAAACAAATTTCAAATTTCAAATTTGGTCTTCCACATGCTCATATTCGTTTGGAGGATTACGTTATTCAAAATTCGATGACTCTATGTACCGTTATTTTATGACAATGTGAGAAATATACATACATTTACGCAGATTTTCATTATTTAATTTCTTCAAATATAATGCAGAACTCTAACATTTTATGGCAACAGTTTGAAAAGCGAACCGACATTTATCCGTCCGACGCAAAATGCCAAAACGAAGCAACAACTTTTACGCTTCACGACTATGGATATGCATCACCGCGAAAATGCTACCTTAAGAGTTTTTGTGTCAACATATTGGAAAATTTCAACTTTTTCTAACGATAATGTACTTATTTTACAATAAACAAAAGATTAAATAGACAAATATTTACAAACATTGTACGCATTCATAAAAAAATTACGTTAATATGTTACAAAGTTTGCTTTTTGAAACTGCAGTATCTTCAAAAATTTGTTTTTATTTGTTACAAAAAAATCCAGGTATAACAAGTTTCGTGGAACTCATACGAACTGAATGTGCTCAAATATAAAAGGAAAAAAATTCCACGCATACTTTCATGCTGTGTAAAAATGTGCTTCGCTGTTGGCCTCTCTCGAAGAAATCTTGCGATACTAAATTTGTGGTGATGACTGGTGACAGGTAGCGCATCTGACTCCGTATAATGGTTGGCACATGTGTGAAGTTGCGTAATACTTACCTCATTTTTTAACTCAAAACACATTTATTACAATTACGAGAAGCTCTTTAGAAATATATATAATTCATTGATAGCATAGAATAGTTATTGAAGTAAATTATAGTCTTCGTGATATGAGGGAACCACAAGTTCGAAAAAAACAACACTAAAAGCTCCAAATCTGGGAAATCAATGCTATTCTACAGAAGAAAAAAAAAAATAATCTGCGGCAATAAATCTCGTCAGTGATACGTTTATATCATATGACACATTTTTCATAAGAAAAAAATTTCCATTTTGAGACTAAAACCTTACTTACAGAATTAATGGGAGTTTAATAGCTTTTCATAAGCAATATTCATTTAATGTTCAAATTGAATGATCAAAAATCAATACCAGACACTTTGGAGGTTACAAATAAATGATTCTAAATATTGATTTTTCTACCATTAACTGGAAAATAAAACAAAAATATTTTTAAACATTGAGCAGTTAAGGATATTGTAAGGACTTCGTTCTGGGTGGAGGATATTCCTGTACTAAAACAAAAATGTATTTATTTACCTAAAAAAAGATTTTTGAAAACATGCGCGCAATTTTCATGTAGAGATTTAGGTACGATAAAAAGCGAATAAACAGCCAAAAAGCGTCTGACGCCATTATTTATAAAAAATTTATTTCTGAAGTTTGGGTTAAAGAATGTTAATGTTTGAACCTTGCGTGTATAATGGAAATACTACTACATTTCATTAAATCATATTGGCAGTTACTTGTATACCAACAGCGGCGACTGACACTTTTAATGAAAATTTAGTAATAGCAACTTCCTATCGTAGACAACAATAAATCACCCTTTTAATATTCATACTGTAAAAGCAAATATTTCTACGTGTTAATGACAACAGGAATATAATTTAGCTATATTACAATTACTTTATTTCATTGATTAATCATTAATTAATTCCCTCGTTACATAATGTTTGACGTACTACATAAATACTTAATAAAATGGCAGTTAATTTAAAATAAAATTTATTATTCTAAGCCAAAATGTATTTTCGATTCAAAACACAAGTAAAGTTTTACTAAAAATGGAATTTTTAAAGAAATTTGAATTGGAAATCAATTTTTCTTCCGAATTTTTGTTCTTTGCTTAAAGTTTATTTAGATATATTTTGTCTGCTACAAAAACAATGCTGGTTTGACACCAAATGTTAAATGTGCCGATGAGTGACAAGGTCAAATACGGAAACCTACACAGTGTTACATTTACATTATTCTTATACTTTTATATGGTTCATATGAATGTTACAGGAATGAAATAGGAATAATCACACACACACACACACAAAAACAACAACAACAACAAAAAATTCATTGTATACCAATGTTACATAATTAGAACTACGGTTAATCAAAATTTTCTCCTAAACATCGAATTTGAAATTAAAGCTAAATTTTCTCGAGAATTCGGATTTTTAATTAATCGAACTTTTAATCCCTCCAATTTTGGCATGATCGAAGCTCATAGCAGATATCTTACAGTAACTTTATTTTTCATATTTTGATACATGTTTAAACACCGGGTATAGAAAAACATATTTTTAGAGCTACTAAATTGCATATTATTTTCACTGATTTTAAAGATTAGCAAGCTAATACAACAGAATCTCGAACGTGATGTTAAAATGGAATTCGAAATTAATGCTTTCTCGGCAAATCAAATTCATGATTAATTGATTACCTCCCCTCCTTTTTTCAGTTCTCCTTCAGCTCCGGCTTATGGAAGTTCACCTATATATTCGAAACTTATATTCCAATGGTAAAATATTGATAAATAAATATCAAACAGCAAAAAATATTAAGGACTTTTACACTCGCACATATAAAACTGCTAAATATTTCCTAGAATTTAGTCGTATATTTAACTTAAATATATACTTCTGGAATTTTGTGCGATTAACAACTCACTAAGCAATATTCACAAGTTAAGAAAAAAAAAAAAAAAAAAAACTTGCATGACAGGTAGATTATGATTATTATCCTGGCTTGATAAACTAAAGGTATTCTAGAAAATAATTGCTTGTATACCACACTTTGAGGTACACCTAAGTAAATACACTTTTGTTAATGTAATAGTTAAGATATTAGTGATAAATTATTCTCATATATTTTTATATTTGGCTGCTCATATAAGACATATATGGTTTACAGTAGTAATTTAAAGGAAGAAAAATATCGTCTTATATTGGGACCAATGTGCCATCAAACTGAATCTGCTGCAACGCCCATATTTATAACTAATAGATGTACCAAAGATACAAATCTTAATCTTTCAGTTGCTTTTATAACCTTGCAATACAAAACCACTCTAATCTCAACACTACAATTAATAAATGCCTAAGAAAGAAATCTGTTCAAATATACAGCGGACAGACCCCAAACGCGTGAAAAGCTGCTGCTACGAAAGTAAATCCATGACTTTCCATAAAATCAATTGCGTAAAAGCTGTTATTTTCCATAAAAAACAGGAATATCAAATAGCAAATGAGCTCCCCTTTAAAGAAGTATTTTAACTGGTCGAACCACAGTTGCGGGAATGGGCAGTAAGCCAACGATATCTCGGGCACCGGATATAAAAATGGCCAAGGAGAAAAACTAAGCTGAAGAAGGAATAGAAATGCCCTTGACAGCACTTACCAGAGCAGATCATTGGGAACACTTAATGAAAACCCGACAAAAGCCTACGCGACACGCTCCTGGAAACGCGAACACGCAAGCAATACGTCAGTTACGCACCAAAGACAATCTGATCGATCTCACTATGACACGAAGATGAATCGAAGCTATTGTGCATTCGCATTTATGACAGACCATAACTTCTGACATATAACAGCGCTTTAAGAATGAATGGGATAACAATGACTGAAATGACACCTGTTGCTTAAATTCTTCAAAAGAAACTCTTCCGGAACTGTCTGCAGATTATTCTGTAAATGTAAAATTCCTCGTACACCTTTTGGAGCTTTTTCAGAATTTGAAATATGAACTAAGTTTCAAAATTTGAATGATTTCTTTAAAAAAAAACTTTAAAAATCTGCAAGTTAATCAACATTTTAAAAATATCACTTATAACAGCAGACTTTCAAAACATGCGATAGAAGTGGGGGGATTTGTTTTTGCAAACCTTCTCTGCCTTCCCAACAACTTGGTCTAAAGAATTCTAATTTATTCAAGATCTTTAAGAGCAAGATATGTTAATGCAATTAAAATTCAAAACATACAATAAAACAATTTTATTGAACTGTGGATTATAAATATTTTAAGCTGCAATTACAACTCAAAACTGCCCTTCATGTGATACAATTTAAACATGAAGATCGCATTTTTTCTGCATCTAAGCTAATGATGATTAATGTTAAGAAAGTTTTTGACTATTAGTAAATTCAAAAATATGTAATTGTTTCCAGTAAATTTTTAGTATTTTAGACGATTCGGTTTTCTTGTAGTCGTAAATTTTCTTAAAAACCTTAGTAGTGAAGAAGAGAAGGACCTGATTAAATTTCACACAGTTCTTCGTTAAAAGCGAAGTGTGCACTCTATTGCGAAATTTTGGCATTAAATAAGCAGGAATTACCGGAACTGACTGGTGATATCCCGCTTCAGTCTTTTCCTAATTTAGCCTGAACAAGAAATATTCTGTGACCGTCAATCCCAACTCAGGACTCATTTCCATTTCTCTCGAATAAATCAAACGAAGTTACTAGTTTTGAATTCAAAGTAGCGACTCTACTTTATTTGAAAAAGGCAGAGTGTAAAAACAAGTTGTATTAAAAAATGGGATAAGAGAACAAACACATCTAGATCGGTTACAGTTCAGATTGCTGAAACTTTTCCTCGGAGGCTCAGCTGGAAATAAAACTATCAAGGCCGAGTTGAGAAAAGCTGATTTGGTACTAAGCCGAATAAAACAGCTGTTTGAAGACATTAATTCATTTTACAACTTTTTTAATGCAAAATTGGATCATAAAAACCAAGTGCATACAAAAATTTGACCATACCTTGACGGAAAAAAAAAAAAAAAAAAAAAAAAAAAAGAAAGAAAGAAAGAAAGAAAGAAAAGAAGAAAAAAGAAGAAGAAACAAAGAAACAAAAAAAAAAAAAATCGAAAACTTTCAGATTTTATATTACGCTCAAAGGGACTTTTTTAACGTTTTGCTTGTTAAAAATTTTTCACAATGGGAGAAACACACATACATTCACGCAGATTCTTCATTATTTAATTTCTTTAAATATACTACAGGGCGATAATATCCGTTGGCAACAATTTAAAAAGTGATTCGCCGTTTATAGTGAGATGTCACAAAATGCTGCTTTGAGACTAATAACCATTCTGTGCTAAAATAAATAAATAAATAAAGCTAGCTGTGTTTCAGTTTGTGCCAAGATTTGGCATTCCCTCTCCAAATAAATTCATGTGCCATACTTATTAAAGATTCCAGCAAAATAATATTCCCTTATGTTAATAACTACTGATGTAAATCACTGGTAGTTTTTCAAAGGGAAAAAAAATTATTAGAAAGTAAATCATTTACCTTCAATGAGTACTATATGGAAAAGTGATTTTCACAGTATGCAAATGAACACAGTGGAATTCACTCCGGAAATACGTACGTGTTTTGATTTCGGTAGTTCAAGATTGAAAGCAAAAAAATAAACATACTCAAAAACCATTCAAACAACAAACAACCATTCGAATATAAAATTCGAAATTTTCAATCACTATTATCCTTATCTCTACCTTGTAAAAAATGGCTCATTGTATACTTTGATCGGACATAATTATCGAATCGTCAGGATAAATGCGTTTATTTAAATCTATAAAGCAATAGTTGCGTAAACTGCATATTCTTACATTAAACTTGGGTTGGGGCAATTCTGCAGATAACATATGATTATAAATTCTGATATTTTAGAGCAGAAGAAACATTTTAGATCATTTTTTGAAAAGCCTCACGTTAAGAACTTTAATTAAAAAAAAAAAAAAAAAAAAAAAAAAATCAACCTCATTTATGTCGGAATTTAATTTAGCAATTAACAAAAATTAAAAAAAAAAAAAAAAAAAAAAAAAAAAAAAAAAAAAAAAATAGAAGACATTTATTTGCTTTGCTTTGAAAACAGTTTAAAAAGACCACATTAAATAGTACACAATTCACTAACTTTAACGCCATAGTAAAACTAAATCTTATGAAACATTTTTGCATATTAAGTTCACATCATCATCATCCACATGAAATACCATCTTTCCAAATTTCATTACTTTCTGCCTTTTTTATTTGTATCCAGCATGCGAATGATATTACTTATGCCATTCGCCATTTTTATCCGTATCCAGCATGTGAATGCTTAAAATAACCAGCCAGAATATGTCACCTTGACGACATTAAAGCACGTCACTCTTTTTCGCCTTTTCCCGACAGTAAAACATGTAAGTCCAATTAAAATTAAACAATCGGCATCATACAAAAGGTTAAACTAATTAGCATATGTTTTATGCTTAAATACCAGACTAAGATAAAACGAAGTTTTTCAAGTTACTCCTTTGTTCTGCCACGTTTATTGGTGCCTTTCGTTTCTTGAAACTTTGGTTTCGAATAGTGTCTCAAAAGTACATTATTCGAACCTACAACAAAACGATTATTTACACATTAAAAGCAATTCAAATGCAGTGATCGTTAATAGAAACTGATAGTGTGGTCCAAAGAAATTTCTTGACAAAAGAATCGGTGACGGAATAGGCGAACTCTTCGAAAATGGCAAGATCTAAATGTCCAAGAACAATTACAGCAAAGGGTGATCATTATATTTCGTTAACAGCCGTCAGAATAAGTGGTAATTTATCACTCGGCTTTAAGGAGAAATTTCCATAGTTACAGGAAATAAATATACTCACAAACTGCCAGTAAGCACCTTCACCACAGCAGTATTTGTGCCTATATACTAATAACAGCTATGTGCACAAATACTACTGTGATGCAGTTAGAAGCTCAGTTTATCATGTTTGTGAACACATTCAATAGAAGTTTCTGTGCTTAATCGCGATTTATTCTGCACCCTGAAAGATCGACGAGTCTTATTTTATAGTCTGAAGATCCTGTCTGGTACATACGAAATAACCCAGTGAAACATGTTGACGGCGGAGCCAGTATATGTCATTCAAAATGGCAGCCGACGACATACAAACTATATAATTTTAACATACATATAAAATCTTTCAGCCAATTAACAAGTTAGGAAATAATTAGCTGCAAGTTAGTTTAAAATTTAAATGAACATGGTGTTAGCCTAGCACATCTAAATATAAATTTACATCTTAGTTCAGCTCTGTATCTGAGAAGCAATAATTTCCGTACCAATAAAACACTGATGAACTGTCTTTTGAAAAAAGCATAAATGATAACACAGGATAAGGTGAATTGCAAAAGAACCTTTTATATTTAAATTTATTTCACTCTCAGATAAGTTAGAAAGAAACAAGGGCAAAGCTATACGTAAGATATGACAAAAACAACCAATTACACTATCTTTAACAAAAACATCTGGGGATCAAAACTGAATGTTGCAAGTAAATAATATTAATTTAAGGAAGTTGAATAATATTTCAGATAAAAATAATATAATCAATATTCAAGACCTCTGGTGAAAAAGCAGTTACAAGAAAACAACAAATGATTTTATATTTCTTCAAAAAGTAAAATTATGGGCTCAAAATTGAGGGGATCAAAGATATGAAAATTACGAGCTCAAAAATTAAATGAAGAACATATTTTAATATTAAATTATTTTTCCGTTTTTTAAAATCCAAGGTTTTTTTCATTACCTTTATTTTCCTTTTCCTCGATAAGACTGCAAATAACACATACATCTGAGATCAAGAATCAATTTAAAAGTTACTGTTAAAATTAATTGTTTCAGTTTCAAAACATGACAGAACATTAAATTTTGAAAAACATAAATTTAATATAATGTTTAAAGGAACTCATGATCTGTGTAATATAAGAAACTAAAGAACATGAATGTTACCACCAGGAAGAACTTCACAAGAAATCAGACATTTTGCTTTTCAGTTTTAAAATAGATCCTATTAAAAATTATAATTGTTAATTAAAATGCCATTTAATGATATATATATACTAGTTTCCTGCATATAGATATTAAAAACAATAACGCTATAAATTTTAACAATTCATAAATTAATAAAAAAAGCGTTACAAATGACAAAGAAGAAAGTCCAATTTTCAGCGATATTATTTAATGATCATGCCTGGCTTTCAAGCCGAAGTTAATTTACAATCAATCAAAACTTCTCAAATTATTATCAGAACTTCTCAAATTATTAATTGTTGTATGATAGAATAAGGGAGATATTAAGTTCCGATTAAATGATATCCTGTGCTTGAGATTAATGGGAAAACATCAAATGATAACACACACCAAGACTGATTTTGATTTCAAATATTTCAGATGGAAATGCACTCACAGCTGACAAATCAGAAACATAGCATTATACTGATAAATATAGGAAATTTTTAAGACAAAATTAAACAACGGAATCATAACAGATAGTTTTCGCTATAGCTTAAAGCCGTTTATAGTTTCTTTTATGTGCAATGTTTATAAAAGCCAGTTTCCCTCAGAAGAAATATTACAAACCAATATAGAAAAGTTAAAATTACATACAAAAAACGAAAATCTTAAAAAGTTCCATAAGAATATCACTTAAAAGCTATTTCGAAATCAGATAGCCTAGCCCTTATGAATC